GTTCTGGCGAGTTTACACACATGGCTGCACTGATACGCGTTTATTCCATTCATAAAATCCCGCATGTTTTACTGCATTCGTTCAATCTTTGCGCTTGCACATTACGTTAGTCCTAATTTGAATATCCAGCTTTTATTTACACAAATAAGTGCTTCATGTGTTTATTTTGTGTTGTTGCATTCGTCACTACCATAAGTTAGTTATAGTAACACGCACAGTGTAAAGTGTCACCTCCGTTTTCTAAAAGTGAAAACACTTTTAAAGTCATACATGTGTTTTTGGGGGTATAAAGTAAAAGCAGGTGTGTGTGTGTGTGTGTGTGCATGTTTATGTGGTTTCTGAGGACACATATTTGTATTATGACATAGGTATTACAACGTGAAGGTGATTTATGAGGACACTTTTGGTGCCCCCGTAATTCAAAAGGCTTATAAATCATACAGAATGAGTTTTTTTTTTAAATCTAAAGATGCAGAAAGTTTCCTGTGAAGGGTTAGTTTAGGTGTAGGGTGATAGAAAATACAGTTTGTACAGTATAAAAACCATTACGCCTATGCAGAGTCCCCATAAACCATAGAAACCAACATGTGTGTGAGTGTGTGTGAGTGAGTGAGTGAGTGAGTGTGTGTGTGAGTGAGTTAGTGTGTGTGTGTGTGTGTGTGTGAGTGTGAGTGTGAGTGAGCGTGAGTGTGAGTGTGAGTGTGAGTGAGTGAGTGTGTGTGTGTGTGTGTGAAGATGCTGCTGTTTCACGCCTGGACATCTGTGCAGAAGCAGCAAGAACCAAAAGCTTCCTGCTTTTCTCCAGTTGAGTCACTGACCAGCCTTTAAATTCCACTTTACTGTGAGTGAACTTTAGTCACCAATGATTGTACAGAGTTGCATAATGTTCTATTTGTTCTATTGCAGTTTATGCATAATTAAAAAACAAACTCAGCCATCGTTCTTGGTAAGTGTGCTTTGGCTCGGAGAAGCGAGTGATGTAAGCCATTGCAAGCTCTGATCACATCTCTGGTGTGTTTGTGAACTCGCTGTCCAGAAACGGGAAGACCAGACGTGAATCTGAGGAGGGATTTTTAAGGCCGTGCTCTATCCGTCCTCCTTGATGGGCCCCGGAGAGTGTGTAGCGAGGGGGTCGTCTGTCCTATTCAGCTGTAGATGTGGACAAAAGACACATTGACGCTGAGCAGTGTTGTAGCACGTGTGTGTTTGATCGTTTGTTAACTCTACTTTCAGTCTTTGCACACACTGCACACTCAGAAAAAAAGGTACAAAAGCTGTCACTGGGGCAGTACCTTCTCAAAAAATACATTTTTGTGCTTTTTAGGTATAAATATGTACATTTTAGGTACTGATATATACCTTTAAAACACCAATATAGACCCTTAAGGTACAAAGGTGTACCTTTTGAATAAAAAGGCTGTGGGGCTTTATCAAGTCAAGGCTGGTGGAAATGTCCCTTGGATTGAACGTGAAGGTAAACTATTGTGTTTTACCGGAGTAAACATCCTCTTGTTGCTCTGTTTGTACACACTAAATCGGCTACAGTCGTCCAGAAGGTGAGAGAGGTCTTATTTTGGCTGTGTTTTGGGTGTGTAATCTGCGTTGAGATAATCTATCTTGCTCCGCTGTGATGAGTCGCCTGCGAGTCGGTCTACATCAGACACACACACACACACACACACACACACACACACACACACTGTACACTACCAGTCAAATATTGGTAATAATTATAATTTGAATGCTTATGAAAGAAATCTCTTCTGCTCACCAAAGCTGCATTTATGTAATCAAAAATACAGTAAAAACAGTAATGCTGTGAAATATTACTACAATTTAGAACTGTTTTCTGTTTGAATATATTTTGAAATGCTGACATATTAGAATTATTTCTGAAGGATCATGTGACACTGAAACAAATGATGAAAATTCAGATTTGCTTCTCTGGAATAAAATGCATTTTACAATATATTTACATAGAAACAGTCATTTTAAATTAAAATAATATTTCACATTTTTTACTGTATTTTCGATCAAATAAATGCAGCGTTGGTGAGCAGAAGAGACTTCTTTCAGAAACATGAAACATTATAAAAAACAGTCCACTTGTATATAAGTTAGTGAGGGGCAATAAACTAGAAAAATTGACATTTATTGA